CATGGGGGCCGAGATGGTGTAAAGGCAGGGCAGCGGGCTTGGGACCCAAAAGTCCCAGGTTCGATCCCCAGTCACTGCACATCACGTGGCGTCTCTGGGCAGCACACCTCATCCCCAAAATGCCTCCCGGGCGCTTTCAATAGCTGCCCACTGCACCACCTGGTGGTGGATGGATTAAATGCAGAGACTAATTTCACCATTGTATGGAAATATACAGTGATGACATTATTATTGTGGTTTTGTTTCTTGTTTACAAATTATTTTTAGCTTTGAATTAAAGTTTATCTATGATTTAAAGCTTTAATTTAAAGTGTAATCTTGTTTTGTGATTTGTACATGTGTGGGTTAGAATAAAGTTGAACCAAGGCTGTGTCTCTTCTTTAAACATGTTGGAGGGAAATATGAGAGATTCAATAATTTTGTCTTTTTATAATTTTTCAGTTGAATTAACTTTAATTAACAGATTATTTAATAAAGTCAAAGGGAAAACAGGATTTCACGATAAAGTCGGCACCGTTTATTTATTTTTAATCTTCACTGATTAAAAAAAACTTATTTTTTACAAACCGGATTCCAAAAAAGTTGGGACACTAAACAAATTGTGAATAAAAACTGAATGCAACGATGTGGAGATGGCAAACGTCAATATTTTATTCGTAATATAACATAGATGACAGATCAAAAGTTTAATCTGAGTAAATGTAACATTTTAAAGGAAAAATATGTTGATTCAAATTTCAGTGTCAACAAATCCCAAAAAAGTTGGGACAAGTAGCAATAAGTGGCTGGAAAAAGGAAATTGAGCATATAACGAACAGCTGGAAGACCAATTAACACTAATTAGGTCAATTGACAACATGATTGGGTATAAAAAGAGCTTCTCAGAGTGTCAGTGTCTCTCAGAAGCCAAGATGGTAAGAGGATCACCAATTCCTCCATTGTTGCACAGAAAGATAGTGCAGCAATACCAGAATGGTGTTACCCAGCGTAAAATAGCAAAGACTTTTAAGTTATCATCATCAACCGTGCATAACATCATGAAAAGATTCAGAGAATCTGGAACAATCGCTGTGCGTAAGGGTCAAGGCCATAAAACTCTACTGGATGCTCGTGATCTCCGGGCCCTTAAACGTCACTGCACCTCAAACAGGAATGTCACTGTCAAGGAAATAACAGAATGGGCTCAGGAATACTTCCAGAAAGCATTGCCAGTGAACACAATCCACCGTGCCATCCGCCGTTGCCAGCTGAAACTCTACAGTGCAAAGAGGAAGCCATTTCTAAGCAAGCTCCACAAGCTCAGACGTTTGCACTGGGCCAGGGGTCATTTAAAATGGAGTGTGGCAAAATGGAAGACTGTTTTTTTTTCTTTCATTTAGCTTTTATTTATACAGGTAATCTCATTGACCCACAAGAACTCATTTTCAAGAGAGACCTGTTTAGGGAGCACATGGTGGGGGTTAAGGGCCTTGCTCATGGGCCCAGAGTGGGGCGAATGAGGGTGGGGGCAAGTGTGGATGTCTCACCTACCCCACCCACAATTTTGATGTTGTCAGGGCCAGGGAGTGAACCGGCAATCTTCAGATCACAGGCCCACCTCTCTAACCTCTGCGCCACCACTCCCCACAATGAGTCACAATGAGATGAGTCACGATTTGAAGTTCTTTATGGAGCACTGGGACGCCATGTCATCCGGACCAGAGAGGACAAGGATAGCCCAAGTTGTTATCAACGCTCCGTTCAGAAGCCTGCATCACTGATGGTATGGGGTTGCATGAGCGCTTGTGGCATGGGCAGCTTGCATGTCTGGAAAGGCACCATTAATGCAGAGAACTATGTTCAGGTTCTAGAACAACATATGCTCCCATCTAGACGTCATCTCTTTCAGGGAAGATCCTGCATTTTTCAACACGATAATGCCAGACCACATTCTGCAGCAATCACAACATCATGGCTACGTAGGAGAAGGATCCGGGTACTGAAATGGCCAGCCTGCAGTCCAGATCTTTCACCTATAGAGAACATTTGGCGCATCATAAAGAGGAAGGTGCGACAAAGAAGGCCCAAGACGATTGAACAGTTAGAGGCCTGTATTAGACATGAATGGGAGAGCATTCCTATTTCTAAACTGGAGAAACTGGTCTCCTCTGTCCCCAGACGTCTGTTGAGTGTTGGAAGAAGAAGGGGGGATGCCACACAGTGGTGAAAATGGACTTGTCCCAACTTTTTTGGGATTTGTTGACGCCATGAAATTTGGAAACAACAGATTTTTCCCTTAAAATGATACATTCTCTCAGATTAAACTTTTGATCTGTGATTTGTGTTCTATTCTGAATAAAATATTAGATGTTGGCACCTCCACATCATTGCATTCACTTTTTATTCACAATTTGTTTAGTGTCCCAACTTTTTTGGAATCCAGTTTGTATAAATAAAATGTTTTTAAAAAAACGTTTCCTCCCTCCATCCCAGTCCTCCCGCATGCCAGGGCTCGAATCCGTCCTTTGTGAGCAGCCAAGGCCGGGGCTCAGGGTCCAGCCTCGCGGGCTTCAACGTCTCGGCAGCTCGTATGATCCTCCGCAGTGACACCGCTCGCTCAAATTTTATAGTCGGTCACCAAACACAAAATACACGTGGACTTCAGAATTAAACACAGCGTTATTATTGTTTTTAAAATCTTAAAAATAGATCCAGCCGCTGCTCTGCATCCAGAGAAATTGCAAATGGCGGATCGGTGAAAAGTTTCTGAGCCAGTGACTCCTCCCCCTGACCTATCAGAGTCTTGCATTCACGTTTCGGGCCGGACTCGGCAGTGTTGTCAGGTGTACAATAATTATCGTATTTGTACAACAATTTTGCCTTCTGTACGATCAATAATCCCATAAAAGGCCAAATATACGATAATTTGATCATTCTGTGAATGAGTGGCTGTAATCAGTTGTCAGCCTCTCGCAAACAAATGTTCTAAATGTTACCTACGAGTGACGTGTATTGCGTTTGCTTCAGAACGGCCATGATTGGCTGATAGTCTGCTGCGCCCGCCCCATGAGTGAGGAAAAGAAAAAAAGGAGAAGCAGAGCCGGTCTGGAAGCGGACCCATCACTACTATAGTGCTTCAATAGATTTGTTATTCTGGTTATAACAGATGTACGATAATTTCCCTCAAAATACGATAATTTTATGTCCCTAGTACGATAATCCTACATTTCTCACCTGGCAACACTGGGACTCAGCTCAACTGAGCTCGCTCGGTCCCACCAGAGAAACAGGGATGAAAAGAGGTCCTGAGTCAGCCTGAAATCAGCTAAAAATACTAGCTAAAGTGCTGGTGCTAAAGGGTTCTTTCTGTGGCAGGCTGCCCAGAATTGGGGCTTATTAGGGGCGGTGCAAAAGGGGCATAGATAAAGGTTGACTGAATTCATAATGCAAAACCCTGACAATGTTGTCTGAGGAAAAGGGGGTGCAGCTCCTGCAGGTAAGGGGCCTTTCACTTCAGGACAAATTGCAATTGCCGATTAGTCAGTTACTGACAAGCCTACTGGACTGACAGGTCGTGTCATGTCAATTTTATTAATGTATTCCTGGCCCAGCAAAGGAGAAAAGCCCCCTCTCCTTTCTCAACCTGTGTGTTAGACCTCAGGAGAAGCTACATGTACTGCGCCTGGCAGAGGGCGTCCACTTCCCTCTTCACAAGTCGGCGATAGGAAACCGATACGTAGGCCACAGTATTTATGTCTATGATGTAAGCTAAACAGGCTAAAATAAATTATGTGTTTTATTATTTTGAGGGTGGGCACTCGTGCCACCCTTGATGAGATACCGCCCTGGGCAGCTGCCTATATCGCTCATCTCAGAAACCACTATTGTCTGTTAAAGGTGTTCTTTTCCTATGTCAATGAGCTACTCAGGGTGTGGGATTGTCAAGACTAATCTGCTGGCCTAAGATAATTTTTGACAGTTTGGCATTTCACAGTGTACTGAAAGTAAATTTGTTTTATAACGTGAACAATCTTACGTTTAACTGGATTTGAAGCCAGATCTCTTTTGGACAAAATTAGACACTTTTTATTATTGAATTTAGTGCCCTGAATTGAATTGGTGCTATGTAAACTGGATTGAACTTAACTTGAGGTTAGACTTGTCATTTTAGAATCTTGCAGTGACTGACTCAATCCTATTTGTGTCATTATTAAACATTAGAGCTGAAAGAGGGTGAACTTTCTATTTTACCACCAGCAGCATGGTGGCTCAGTTGGTAGAACTGCGGTCTCTCAGCGAGGTCACCGGACCGAACCCCGGGGGCCTCTCTGTGCATGTGTGGGTATCTCCGGTCTGTGGGAGGAAACTGGAGAAATGCTCTCTTCTCAGCCAAGAAGAAAAAGTCTGATAAGAATTTATTCACCTCCAATTCCTACGTGTCCAGTTTCATTACTTTCTGTCTGTCTTAACAGGTCTCACTTGTAAATGAGTCTTATATGCTCAATGTGACTTATCTGTCTAAATAAAGGTTGAATGAATAAAAAAAGACCAAAAACACGCATGTTAGGCTGATTGGTAACTCTAAATTGTCCCTAGGTGAGAGAGAGAGAGGGTTGTTCGTCTCTGTGTCCCTGCGATGGACTGGAGACCTGTCCAGGGTGTCACCCGCCTCTCGCACAGTGATAGCTGCACATGGGCACCAGCAAGCGGGTAAAGACAATGATTGGATGTTTTACCACCTTTGTGCATTTACACTCTTTGGCCCTTTGTTAGGCTGCAACAACCTCGTTAAAGGAGTACGACCCTAAAGTTCTGGTTTAGAACAACTACATGCAAGTAAAATAAAAATAAAATCTGTACGCCTTTTTATAACGGTTTATTGTTGTCACTGTTGTCATCATTCTTTGTTAAATCAGGTCTCTCTTGTAAATGAGTCCTGGAGGCTCAATGGGATTAAGCTGTCTAAATAAAGGTTGAATGAAAAATAACTAAAAAGCCAAAAGAAGGTTTGGAGGGTTTTATTCATTTTAGAGTGAAGTTATGTTAGTGAAATTATATTCTTAGTAAATGAAAAATAACTTGATAAAAATGTATTTTAATCATTTTAAATACATGACATTAACATAACAAAAGTGGACTTTAAACTTTCTGGGTTTTAAATCTACACATTTGGACAATTTAAATGTCATAAGACGTCCACAAGCCTAGACACTGCTCACATGTTGAGACAGAGAATGCAGAAAGGACACGTTCAGATCTAAAGTGAAGTCCATCAATCTGTCCTCTCAGCTTCACTTCTCCATTTTTGCCTCTTTAGGGTCTTGCCTATGCTCGTCAGCATCCACCTCTGCCTTCCTCTTCCTCAGACCCTTCATCTTCCGTGTTTGCAGCTTTGACAAATCCTGCTTTTGCATGTGCACCCGTCCAAACGTGGTACCAAAGGCATCATGGGAAATATTTTTCTTCTTCTTTGGCTGCAGCAGTGGGAGGAAAAAAATACAGTTTTGAGATTATTGTTGTCTAAACAAGAACAAAGCTGACTTGAGGATGAAAACAGGTGTGTATAATTTTTAAATTATACATACATTTTGAAATACAGGTATACATGTACATTCTTTAAATTATTATTTTTTTTTTTAATGGAGCCTGCCGTCGAACATCCAGGAATAAACTTTTCCAGGGAGGGGGAGAATTGTGATCCCACAATAAATGGAACACGCTCTTCAGTCCCTCTTTTTAAAAATGGGAACCACCACCCCATCTGCCACTGTGGTTCTCCCAGTCCTCCATTCGACTTTGAAGAGATGTGTCTACTACAGGTGCTGCTCATAAAATTAGAACATCATGAAAAAGTTGATTTATTTCAGTAATTCCATTCAGAACGTGAAACTTGTAGATTATATTCTTTCATTACACACAGACTGATATATTTCAAATGTTTATTTCTTTTAATGTTGATGATTATAACTGACAACTAATGAAAACTACAAATTCAGTATCTCAGAAAATTAGAATATTACTTAAGACCAATTAAAAAGGATTTTTAGAAATGTTGTCCAACTGAAAAGTCTGAAGATGAAAAGTAAGAGCATGTACAGCATCAATACTTAGTTGTTGCTCCTTTTGTCTGCAGTGTGACATGGAGTGGATCAGTCTGTGTCACTGCTCAGTGGTTATGGGGTTACGGTCAGGTGAGTTTGCTGGTCAATTAAGAACATGGACACCATGGTCCTTAAACCAGGTACTGGTATCTTAGGCACTGTGTGCAGGTGCCAAGTCCTGTTGGAAAATGAAATCTCCATAAAGTTGGTCAGCAGCAGGAAGCAAGAAGTCTCTAAAACTTCCTGGTAGATGCTGCGTTGACCTTGGACCTTAGAAAACACAGTGGACCAACACCAGCAGACGACATGGCCCCAAACCATCTCTGACTGTGGAAACTTGACACTGGACCTCAAGCAACATGGATTCTGTGCCTCTCCTCTCTTCCTCCAGACTCTGGGACCTTGATTTACAAAGGAAATGCAAAATTTACTTTCATCAGAGAACAGAACTTTGGACCACCCAGCAGCAGTTCAGTCCTTTTTGTCTTTAGCCCAGGCGAGACACTTCTGATGCTGTCTCTTGTTCAAGAGTGGATTGACACAAAGAATGCGACAGCTGAACCCCATGTCTTACATACGTCTGTGCGTGGTGGTTCTTGAAGCACTGACTCCAGCTGCAGTCCACTCTTTGTGAATCTCCCCCACATTTTGGAATGGGTTTTGTTTCATAATCCTCTCCAGGGTGCAGTTATCTCTAATGCTTGTAAACTTTTCCTTCCCTCCACCTCTCTATTAATGTGCTTGGACACAGAACTCTATGAACAGCCAGCCTCTTTAGCAATGACCTTTTGTGTCTTGTCCTCCTTGTGCAAGGTGTCAATGGTCGTCTTTTGGACAACTGTCCAGTCAGCAGTCTTCCCCATGATTGTGTAGCTACAGAACTAGACTGAGACCATTTAAAGGTCTTTGCAGGTGTTTTGAGTTAATCAGCTGATCAGAGTGTGGCACCAGGTGTCTTCAATACTGAACCTGTTCACAATATTCTGAGATACTGAATTTAGGGTTTTCATTAGTTGTCAGATATAATCATCAACATTAAAAGAAATAAACATTTGAAATATATCAGTCTGTGTGTAGTGAATGAATATAATCTACGTTTCACTTTTTGAATGGAATTACTGAAATAAATCAACTTTTTCTTGATATTCTAATTTTATGAGCAGCACCTGTATGGCAGCCCCATAACATTCACTTCACCACTCGCTCCCCACGAGATCGGATGCTTCTCTCCCTCCCTCCCTCCCTCTCCACTTTGCTTTGCTGCTCTGTCTGTCTGTGAAATTGCTGTGAGACTCTCTTGCATCTTCCGAACTATAATTATGGACTTGTTTTGACCAGTTGGTCCCTCATCTCAATTTACAACATTTCTTGAAGAAAAGACAGGCTTTAGGCGAGCAGATTTACCCTGTTGGCACGCACGCAGCTGGATATCTCATCGACTGGAAAACTTGATGATGTGTCTATCTCTGCTGCCATCTGTGGATTTTAAGGACTCATATTTAATTGGATTTATGATAACTGGTTCCTGCTTTTTGGATTCAGCTGGTGCTGGTTTTATGTACAATCAAGGAGGTCGTCAGCAGCAAATTTGGACCCGATCACGCTGCTTGCCTTTATGATGGCTTGGTTCATGTCTGGAGTACCCAGACTCAAATGCTTTGGGCTGAATGGATCAAAATGCCTGTCCCCAAAACAACTGTGTGTTTATCTAAATTTTGGTCACCTTGGCTGTCCTTGAAGGCCATCTTATCTGAATTCACCTGGAGAACATGTGATCTGACGCTCACCACCCACTCCCTGAGGAATTTCCAACTGATAACCAGATGAATCCCCGCTGAAAAAACTTTGTCATTATTTCAGGACTCTGGATTCTTATAGAGGTTATCCTTGGCCATTTCTCGACATACCTCGAGAACGTTTATGGATCTCAATGGAGGACATTGACTGATTACAGTGACCTCGAGAGCGTCTATAAGCGTTGTTGACCGCTCTCGTCTCCGATTGCAGAATGTCTACGTAAATATGTGCTTGTTTGTGTGAGGTGTTTTTTCAATATTAGAGGTTTTTTATCAGCCAAGAAAAAAGTCTGAAAGGAATTTTTTTTCGCCTCTAATTCTTACATGTGTCCAGTTAGCCACTGTTTTTGTCTGTCCAAACAGGTCTCACTTGTAAATGAGTCTTCGAGGCTCAATGTGATTTATCTGTTTAAATAAAGTTTGAATGAATAACATTCAGTTTTCAGCATCTTGGGACGAATCTCATCCACCCCTGGCGTCCTGCCACTGAGGAGTTTTTTGACTATGTCGATGTCCTCTGCCATAGTATCTAAAAAAGTTAAATCTGGTCCTCTGGACATTCAAAAAAATAAATTAATTGAAATAAAAAAAAAATCTAGAAACGTTTTGTCTTTCATCCAAGAGACTTCCTCAGTCTGAGGTGCTGTTTTCAGCTCAGTCTCTTAAATAGCACCTTCTCAGAGTGGATCAACCAGTTTTGCTGCTGACAACCAAAACCAGCTGCTCACATGCTCAAGAAGGACCATCAGCCTAACAATGGATCATTAGCACCTGATGGCTGTTTACTGTTCACAGAGGGCTGAGTGATACTAGCAATCACAGCATTGTAAGAGGGGGACAGTTGAACCCGGAGGCTCCACCCCTGTTTAATGATGGACGATTTCTTTTCACAAAGATGGCCTCCTTTACTCCTCTCTCAAACCATCGTTCCTCTCTGTCCAGGATGTGAACATCTTCATCCCTGAAAGAGTGACCTCTGGCCTGGAGATGAGTGTAGACCTCAGAGTCCTGGCCTGATGATGTTGATCTTCTGTGCTGGTCCATCCTTTTGGCCAGTGGCTGTCTAGTTTCCCAGATGTAAGACTGATCACCCTCCTGACACTGAACAGCATACACAATATTACTCTCTTTGTGTCGGGGGACTGGATCTTTGGGATGAACCAGTCTTTAATGTATTTTGGGGTTTAAAAGCCACTGGGACGTTGTGTTTAGAAAATAAATGTCTCAGTTTCTCTGATACCCCCTCAACATATGGAATGACCACTGGTCTGGGTCTGGGTTCCTCCTTTTCACCTGATGGCTGACTGGAGTCCCGTTTGGGTTTCTTCTTTCAGGAAGGCCCAGTTAGGATATCCACATTGCTCTAGAGCCTGTCTTGTGTAGGATTTCTCCTTCTGCCTGGCTCCCGAGTTAGTGGGGATGCTGTCTGCTCAGTGGTACAGAGTCCTGATGACTCCTAACTTGTGCTCCAAAGGGTGATGGGAGTCAAACTGCAAATACTGGTCTGTGTGGGTGGGTTTGCAGTACACCTCAGTTTGCAAATGTCCTCTATCAGAGATTGAGACTTCACAGTCCAAGAAAGCCAGCCTGCCATTTATTACATCTTCTCTGCCATAGTAATGGACTTGTCTTCCATCCAAGTTCTCAGATTTTGTCTCCTCAAAGGTGGACATGGTGGGTGGATTAAAGTGATCCTCGAATAGCTCTTTCCACTGCTCAACAATATCCTCAGTCTGGGACAGCAGTCTTCAGCCAGAACCAAACACAGCCTGGGAAGGGGCCTCCTTTTCTTTTATGAGTCACCAAACATTTTGCCAAAACTTCCCTAGGCTGACTAAAAGTCCTTCTCCATGGCCTTCCCAAATTCCTTCCATGCCCGAGTTTTTGCATCAACAACCACCAAATCTGCTGTCCTTCTGGCCACCCTGTACCCATCAGCCGCTTCACAAGTCCTCCATTCTTTGGTTGCCGTACAGACAGGCACAAATGACCTTCATTTCACTGTTCCTGGAAGCTGCATCTGCAATGGAGGCCCTGAACATGGCCCATTTAGATTCCATGTCTCCCACCTCCCCAGGGCCACATGAAAAACTCTTCCGGAGGTGTTGGTTAATAGTCGCTTGGACTGGTGGCTCCACCCGAAGTCCCCAGTTCACACTTTCAATATGTTTTGGTTTACCAGGTCTGTCTGGCAAGCTACTCCGCTACCGGATCCAACTCACCACCAGGTTATGATCAGTTAAAAGCTCTGCCCCTGTCTTGATTCGAGTGTCCAAGACACAGGGCCGCAGGTTCGATGCCACAATTACAAAATCAATCATCGACCTTTGGCCTAAGGTGGTCTGGTACCAGGTATACTTATGAACCACCCTATGCTCAAACATGGTGTTTGTTATGAACATTTTAATAACCAACTGTACAGATCAGCTTAAGGAGAACTAGCTAAAAGTTCTGGAATAGTACAGTCAAAGCCCAGACCTCAGTCTAACTGAGAATCTTTGATTTAATTCAAAGACTGCTGTAAGGGGATAAATATTTTTGCAACCTACTGTATGTTGTACTACAAGCTGTTAGTGCTCAGGGGTTTGAAACATGTTTTAAACGATTTACAGCAGTTTTGAGTTTAGGACGTTTGAGGAGCTGAACTGCTGTATCTTCCACAGTTGTTTTATAATTCTTTCACTGACAGAGAAACTCAAACAATTGTATCTTTGAACTATTGCATGATTATTTTTGAAAGATAGTTGAATGGCTTCTGATTTAAATATTATATATTTCCATTGTTTTCCTATGTCATTTTGCTAATAAACTTGTTGCTCTACTCAGTTACTTTGAATGTTTTCAGATCAACCAGCAACATGTGAATCTGAAAAAGATACCCGAGTCCCACCAAGGGAGGCTGACATGCAAGTTCTTTACCTTCAGGGCTTTGGGCTGTTTATGAGCCAGCTTATACAAGTCATCTGATGCCAGGTGGGTTCTTCTCATGACAAAGTCAAAGGATGGCCCGATCTCTTCCAGCTCGATCCTTGGTGTGCGGCAGCCAGACTTCTTCAACAGACACCTGTTTATACATCCAACACAATTCTACTGTAGATAAAGCAAACATGAAGGTGCCTACTAAACGCTAACCATCTGAATCTCTCTAAAAGCAGTTTTAGTTTCCATGCCTATAGCTGCGCAGATAGATCTTTCCTTCCTGGGCAGTGAAGTGCAGGACATGCTCCAAACCTGCGAGACGCACTGCAGACACAGTGGGACCTCTGAAAAAGTCTAAGACACAGGGAGAAGATCCGTGATCTGTTATAAGAAGAATGACTACATGTCAAGAACCCCTGTACTTAGTCTGCATTGTGAATGTGTACCTATAAGTAGGCTCTTCATCCGCTTGTACTCGTTGTCTGTATCAAAAGCTTCTCCTGCAAACACAAGCATCGGTTTGGTTCCTTCAGGACACTTGCTGGCCTGCAACAGAAAATTAAGACCCTATATGTTTATAAATCTGTCACCCGCAATAACAATGACTGAAGCTTAGTTTGTAATCACTAAGTACATAAGTTGCACAAATGAAGTTTGCTTGTCTGAAGCCAGAACTTTCCAGAAAGAAAAAAAAAAACATTAGTAAAGCTTGGTTACCTATCATTTTCTGTTAAGCTTCCTTTAACTTAAGCCCAAAGCCAGCTTCTCAAGTGACTGAAAGAGCAAGTGACTACCAGTAGTTGATGAACAGCACTTCTGAGTGTCTCCAAAATGTCTCATGTCTCAAAGAATCATCCATCTTTATCACAGCTGATTACACCCCAAGCGTGGCAAAGGTATGAGCGGCATTCACGGAGATGAGACGACTCTTTTGAAACTGAGCAGGCATCCAGTATGGTCTTGTTTTTCCTACACGGCTTCACAACACGCAAGAAGGGATGGACAAGGGGTTTGTCGACTCCGATAAAGCTATGGAATATGCCAAAATGTCTCAAATCATTCATGGGTGCTTTTATTTTCTTCACATGAGTCAGGATCTTGCTGCCTAATTTCTGAGCACGTTCAAAAAATACTACTTAATAAATTTTCTGTCAAAATAGAGTTGTCGTGGTTGTTTCAAAGCATGATGTAGCTGAATTTTATGACTAATTGCACACATTTACTTTTTGCTACTGTTTGAAAACTTGTGCATATCTGTAACTTGACCTGTATGCATTAGGGCTCCTGCGATTATTTGGCATCAGTGCCGTCGTTATGATAGTTGACATAAATAATGTTTTTAATGAATTTATCCACATTTCTAATGGTTTTAGTAACAAATAACAGTATTTTTCTTTTCAAAGGAGTCTAAAGTATAGGTGTGTTTTAAGCTAGACAACAAAAAAGGTAGTTTCAAACTTTCAGTGGATGTGTGTGTTGTCATTTTAAAAGCAGCAGCAGAAGAGAGATGCACTGAAGAGGTATGAGATGGCACAAGTAAACACAAAACACCAAAAGTTTTATTCAAGCTGCTAAATGAACTCTACAAAGTTGTTCCAATTGTCTGTCTGACACATTGCCAGCTGTTATTTTAAACTAGAGCCTGACAGGTTGGGGCACAAGATGGCCACAGGGCATTAAGCAGCATTGTGCAAGGCTCCCATCAGCCCTCCTTGAAAAACTGCCTTTTATAATTTTATTTTTGCCACCTCCGCTTTGGATTCTTCCTCTGAGATCGGCATCGTTTTAGAATTGATTCAATGGAGCTGTAATATGACCTCTAAATTAAACAAAACTAAAACGGCTGGGTCTATGCCCACTAGGGCTGCTGGCACAGTTGCAGCCTTGGACCGTGGTGCTGCACCAGGCTCTGGCGAGGTAGTCAAGTCGGCTCTGAAGTCAGACATTCTGGTTTCAATTAAATCTGAAGTCACAGCAATAATTAGGATGGAGATGAAAGCTGCTCTGATGGATGTTTTTAACTTTATAAAGCGCGAACTCCGGGCGGTCAGGGAGGAAGATACCAATAGCACCACAGACCTCAGAGCAGTTTGACCAAGTGAGGCTAAGTGTAAAAGAGGCTAAAAGTGGGCAGCCTAGATGCTCAGATGCAGTGGAGGCTCTGCGTGGAACCGTGGTAGAATTGGAAAACAAGGTTGATGGGCTGAGAAAAAGGTTTGAAGCCATGAAAGGGAATGTGAGACGGAACAATACTAGGATCATTGGCGTTCCTGAATCTCCAGAGTCGTGCACCCCACAGCATAGCGATGCTAACGGAGGTGTTGCAGCTGGGCAAGTTGCCGCTGATTTGACCGAGCGCACCGGACGATGGGTAGGAGAGGTTCGGATGATAAATCAAGAGTTATCTTGGCCAGGCTACATTATTATCAAAATTGTATGGAGATATTATAATGTGCACGCAGCGGTGACCCGATCCATTTCAAAGAATCATCCATCTTTATCACAGCTGATTACACCCCAAGCGTGGCAAAGGTATGAGCGGCATTCACGGAGATGAGACGACTCGTTTGAAACTGAGCAGGCATCCAGTATGGTCTTATTTTTCCTACACGGCTTCACAACACGCAAGAAGGGATGGATAAGGGGTTTGTCGACTCCGATAAAGCTATGGAATATGCCAGGACGAATGTCATTCCAGCAATGGGTGGCAAGGATAGAAAGAAACTAAGATCAGCCTCCCTCAACCAGCATTCTTCTTAAGCTTGTGTTTGACTCAATATTTGGCTGTTAGGTCCTTTAATGACAGTATGTAAAACATTTTATTTGTATTGGAGAGTGACTGTTAACGCTCTGAACTGATTAAAGTAAAATCAGGTATATAGTATGCACCCTAACGGGAGTAGTGGAGCACAGGTTAGAAAAGGTGGGCCTGTGATCGGAAGATCACCGGTTCAACTCCCGGTACCAACAACATCAAAATGTGGGTGGGATAGGTGAAGCACCCACACCTGCCTCCACCCTCATTTGCCCCACTCTAGGCCCTTGAGCAAGGCCCTTAACCCCCACCATCTGCTCCCCCGGATGCCCTAGATAGCAGCTCTAGCTCAGTGGTCTGTGGTTGTGTCAAAAAGGGCATCTGGCGTAAAAAAAAATTGTCAAGTCTTCACACGACTGTGGTGACCCCTGAAGAAGAGAGCAGCAGGGGAAAAAAAAGTATGCACCCTAACATTAGAGCGCTTTTCTTTTTTTTTTTCTCCTTTTAAGTACACGTTTGATATTTACGGTAATATTTGCATATTTTGTTGTTTCTTTTTAGTTTTTATTATTAATCATATCATATTATGAACCTCTGAAAAGAGGTCCAGGAAGTGGTTACAAGAAGAAATTGATAGATTGCCTGAAAATTTTGGAGCAGGACAAGGCTATTGACCGTATTCTGTACCACAGACTGTACCCAGGGGAGGCCACACCTAGTCTGTATGGTTTACCTAAAATCCACAAACAAGGTGTACCTTTAAGACCAATTGTTAGCATGATTAACTCTGTCACTTACAATGTTTCCAAATATCTGGCATCTGTACTCATCCCTTTAGTTGGCAGCTCAGAACACCACATACAGAACACCATGGACTTTGTGGATAAGGTGAGGGATGTCATCATGGAGACTGATGAAACAATGGTCTCTTTTGATGTCACATCACTCTTTACGTGCATTCCTGTTGATGATGCAGTAGAGGTGGTCAGTTTAAAATTAAAATCAGACACCACTCTGAGCAGCAGGACCACACTTTCCACAGAGCAACTGTGTCAACTCTTGAAACTGTGCCTGCAGTCAACCTACTTCACATATGGGGAGCAATATTATAGGCAGAAACATGGGTGTGCTATGGGGTCTCCAGTTTCTCCTATTGTGGCCAACCTGTACATGGAGGAGGTAGAAAAGAGAGCCTTGACGTCCTTTTCAGGGACACCACCAAGTCATTGGTTCAGGTATGTTGACGACACCTGGGTTAAAATTAAATCTCAGGAAGTCCAACATTTTACTGACCACATCAACTCTGTGGATAAATACATCAAGTTCACA